TACTTTCTAAATATAATGGAATATACCATGATTCAACAAACAGTATATCACAGAGGAAAACACTGAGTTATTCCTACTAAGACACAGAAAAAAAGAAATGTGTCAATGCAATAGACGTGAGAAACCACATAGAAGCTTAAAAATTAGGAGAAAAGAAGAGTTACCTCTAGTTTCAGATGATATAAGAAAACACCTCAAAATTCTTAGAGATTCAGTAATAAAACTAAAAATTCAGTCATGCAATAAAAAAATTAACCTTCAGAAATAAAAAAATGTAACTACTATAAACCTCCTTTACAATAACAACAAAAAGTTAAAGTACATGCTATTATTTTTAATACAAAATGGAAAAAAACTCTATGAGGATGTAGCAGGAAATGAGGGTCAGGATACCAAGATCTGGAAGCAACACTTTATTAGTGCTACCATGGCCCAGAGGGATAATTCCCAAAGTCTGAGCCCTGAGTGCAGCAGGGCTTTTATTTTTATACAAAAGCAAGTTTTGGGTACATCAAAGCAAGGGAGCTCATGCAATTCTATTGGAGTGTGCATTCAACATTCTGTATATGGGTACAAGCTTTCAACAGCCTAGTAACTTTTAGCTCATACAGGGATTGTTCTGTCCCAGCTGTTTTGTTTCCTGCGTCTGCTGCTGCTATGCAGTTGTTACAGGTACCTGTTAACTGCTGCAAGCCCCTATGCTTAAATGTCAGTAAGTAGAGCTGCTGGGTGCCAATGTGTGAAATCACAGCCTGTCAGCTCTTAAACTGCTGAAGTTTCCATTCTATTCTACCACAAGGAAACATTTAAGTCATTCTGAAAGATACAAAAGTAGATTTAAACAAATTAAAAGATACTTATTGGTTTGTATTTTGTCCCATTTCATGGTTTTCATTTGCTTTCCATGCTAATAATACTGAACATGTTTTCATGTGAATTATTGTTCATTTATCTTATTTGTAAAGAATCTGGTTAAATTTTTTCAGTTTATTATTCAATTTTTGAGTTATTATTATTTAATTTTATGTAAATTTTATAGTAGATGAATTCTGTTTATGGAAACAAGTCCTCTATCAGATATGTGTACTGCAAATATTACATCCCCAATGTGTGACTTGTTCTTTCATATTCTCAGTGTTTTTCAAAGAAAAAATCTATTTGATTTTGATGTTCAATTTATTGCTTTTATTATATGTATATTCCTTTAAAAATCCTTTATATATTTTGAAGTTGCAGAAAACTTCCTTCTGTTAGGTTTTCCTATATTTTTTTTATGGTTTTAGGTTTTACAATTAGGCCTGTGATCCATTTTGACTACAATTTTGTGGTTAGTTTATTTACTTTTATCAGCACTCAAACAGTTGTTTTTTTTATTCTGTCTAGACTTATTGTATTAATTATTGGGTGTGGAGGGTGTAGTGAGCTTATATAGCTACAATAGAGGTGTGGCAAAGCTGGGTGATTTAGTACTAAGGTTCAAAAAGAGAAACACCATGCAAAAATAATTAGAAGACAATTGAAAAAAAAAACTACAGGGAAAATTAGAACTACCACATATTAAAACACTAAAAAACTTGTAAAATTAAAAAAAAGGTGCTACTACTGCATCAAAAGGCAGGAAGTACAATGGAATATAACATCCAAAATATGATTGAACACATATAGAAATTAAGGGTTGTTTTAGTCAGCATTTTCACTGCTGTGACTTAAAGACCCAACCAGAACAATTTTCGGGCAGGAAAATTTTATTTGAGAGCTCAGAGTTTAAGAAGTCTTAGTCTATAGAAGAACAGCTTCATTCCTCAGGACTGGGGTGAGGCAGAACATCATGGTGGAAGGGTGTGGCAGAGGGAAGCAGCTCACATGGTGATCAGGAAGCAGAGAGAGGGTCTCCACTTGCCAGACACAAATATATACCCCTAACCATACTCCAATGCCCGCCTCCTCCAGCCACACCCTATCACTTCAGTTACCACTCAGCTAATCTGTATCAGGAACATTTTTTTTTTTTTTTTTTTTTTTAGAGAGAGAGAGAGAAGAGAATTTTTAATATTTATTATTTGGTTTTTGGCGGACACAACATTTTTGTTTGTATGTGGTGCTGAGGATCGAACCCGGGCCCAAAGCATGCCAGGCGAGCACGCTACTGCTTGAGCCACATCCCCAACCCTGTATCAGGGACTGACTTAATTAATTGGATTAAGATTCTTACAACCCAATCATTCCTCCTCTGAACCTTCTTTCACTGTCTCACATGTGAGATTTTTAGGGTTACCTCACATCCAAAACATACCAAGTATAATATAAAGTCGCATCTAATATAGCTGGAAAGAGAAGGAATCTTTCATTTAGCAATGCTAACAATCTAAAATACCTATTCAGGAAAAGAATACAGGACTGGGGTGAGGCAGAACATCATGGTGGAAGGGTGTGGCAGAGGGAAGCAGCTCACATGGTGATCAGGAAGCAGAGAGAGGGTCTGCACTTAGCAAAAGAATGAACTCCAACACTAAATTTTAAAATTGAAGTATTTAAAGTTAAAAAACAAATGCAAGGGGGTATTCCTCTATAACCTGGATGTGTGGAGAGGTTTTCTTAATCTTGCACAAAATCCTAACACATTTAAATTTTTTTATTTTACTACTGAGTTTTTAAATATCACCAACAAGAAAAATAAAATCACTATAAACTACTCTGCCTCTTTGTGGTATTTCAAGATAACTTCCCATCTCTACATGCTGATAGAATCTTCAAATGCTCTGACACACATTCTGTCCTTATTTTATACCTTATTTTATAGTTAGTTCAGTGGGAGATTAAAGTGCCAGTTGCTTAAACTTACCTGGAACCATCTAACCTACAACTGAACTACATATTTTAATTATATGAACATTTTATAGTAAGATATTAGAAACAATATCAATATTCATAGAAGGATTTTATTATAATTTCCAACTTTATTGAATTACAATAGCATTTAAATGACTATATTATCCATCCACAAAAAGAAGTTTCACCGTTAAATAATTTACATTACTTATACAGTCATTAAAATAAAATAAAATCCACATAGATAGGAGAAAATCTCTGAAAAGTAATGTAAGTAGAACAAATTAAATATTAAAATTAACTATTTAAATTCATAAATCAAAAGCAGCAAAAGAGGAATAGCTTTAAATAATAATATAAAAAACAAAATTTCAAGCTCAAACTATTAGGCCAAAGAAAAATAATAACCTTGTCAATGAATATTATACTCTCCCAGATGGTTTTGTTGATTTTTTACAATTGTAGATTTTCAGTGATCTTAAATCACTGACATAGCTCTACCTTAAAAACTTGAAAAAAATAAGAGCAAATGAAATCCAAAGAAGCAGAAGAAAGGAAATAATAAAGAACAGAGCATAAATAACTGAAATATAAATTAATAAATCAACAAGAGAAAATTCAGTTAACCCCAACTAAATAAAATTCAATCAAAATCAATCAGAAAAGAAAAACTTACTTTATTTTCTGAGATCAATAGAATCAATAAGTCTGTAGCAAGTTCGGTTAGGAAAAAAGGGAACATAATTACCAATATCAGAAATTAATTGATAAAAATTAAGAAACTTGAATGGACATAAATGCCTCAAATTCCAGAACTTAAATATAAGTGGTAAATACACAAAAACCCACAAACTACCTAAGTTTACTCTAGAGAAAATTTATAACCTAGATTTTTCCTTTTATTTTATTTTATTTTTTAAAAATTGAATCAGAAAATCTTCAGACAAGGGAAAATCCAGATGCAGATTTCTCTGATAAATGATATTAACCATTTAAGGAAGCAGAAATTTCAACTATACATGAACACTTCAAGAACTTTCAGGGAAAGCAAATAACTCATTTAACTCATTTTATAATTTAACTCATTTTATAACACTAAAACCCCCCTGTTACTAAAAACCTGACAAAGATATCACATAATGGAAAACTGTAAACAAATATCCCTCTTGAATAGATGCAAAATTATAAACAAAACAAATCTCTTAGGAAGATAACATATCATGTCAAAGTAGAGATGTTCCAAGATTTTAACAATGTTATAACTTTTGATAATAAATGGAATCAATGATATTTTTAAAAATAAAACATATTTCAATAATTTAGAAGAAACATTGACAAAATACAACCTTATTTTCTCATTTAAAAAAATCCAAAATTCGCAACAAACCAGGAATAAAAGAGAAATTTCTAAATATGATAAAAAAAATCTATGATAAACTTACATCAGACTTGTGAATGACTGAATGATTTCCTTCTAAGATCAATAATGTCAAAACGAAATGCCCTTATCACTTCTATTCAATATTTTATTGTAAGTGTCAGGTGCTACAATAAGGAAAAAGAAAAATGACACTGAAAGGAAGTAAAGCTGTCTGTAGAAAATTTAGCAAAGCCTCAGAACATCTACTATGGTGTATATATTTAGTAAGAGTTTCAGGTGAAATATTTTTACTCTAATGTGTTTCTATATAATAACAATGAGCAAAACAAAATTGAAATAAAAATAAGTTAATAGAGAATCAAGCAAGTGAGTATTAAGATATACCTTAAAAATTTTTTTAAAGAATCTCTACACTAAAAAATGGAAACTAAAATGTATTGCTAAGGGGAGACCTAAATAAATATTATAGCATTTCTAACCAGGTCTCTGAGTTAGAAATCTCATTAATCAAATAATGACAACTCTTTTCAAGTTTATCTTTACATTCAAAGCAATAAGGAATTATTCATCAGACTATGTGTATGTGTGTGTGTGTAAAAGTTGACATGCTGATCCTAAAATATTAATGGAAAAACAAAAGACCTAATATAATCACAACATGGAAAAGATGAAAAATAAAGAGAAACAAAATACAATATCAAGACTTATCATAGGCTCTATGATCCTCCCGATTTGACAGACAGCCACATCCTCTATTCTCTTGCAGTGCTAGCCATGACCCTGAGACATGATGGTGAATTTCAGAGTGAGCAGATTTGGCCGTACTGGATGCCTGGTCACCAGGGCTGCTTTCAATGGTGATAGAGTCTTCAAATGCTCTGACACACATTCTGTCCTTATTTTATAAGATGGATCTTGTTGCTATCAATGACCCCTTCATTGGCCTCAAATACATGGTCTACATGCTCCAGTATGATTTTACCCAGGGTAAATTCAATGGCACAGTCAATGCTGAGAATGGGAAGCTTGTCATCAATGGAAAATCCACCTCTATCTTCCAGAAGTAAGATCCCACCAATATCAAATATTGATATTTGATGCTGGTGCTGAATATGTGTGGAGTTCACTGGTGTCTTCATTAAACATGAAGAAAGCTGGAGCTCATCTGAGGAGTGGTGCCACAAAGGTCATCATCTCTGTCCCTTTTGCGATGCCCCATGTTTGTGATGGGTGTGAGCCATGAGAAGTACAACAACTCCCCCAAGATTGTCAGCAATGCCTCCTATACCACCAAATGCTTAGCTCCCCCGGGCCAAGGCCATCCATGATAACTTTGGCATTGTGGAAGGACTCATGACCACAATCTGTGCCATCACTGCTACTCAGAATACTGTGGACGATCCCTTTGGGAAACTGTGGCATGATGGATATGGGACTGCCTAGAAGAATATCATCCCTGTATCCACTGACTCTGCCAAGGCTGTGGGCAAGGTCATCCCTGAACTGAATGGGAAGCTCTCTGGCATGGCTTTCCGTATACCCAATCCCAACATGTCATTTGTGAATCTGACCAAATATGATGACATTGAGAAGGTGGTGAATCAGTCATAGAGGGCATCTGGGGCTACATGGAGGACCAGGTCATCTCCTAAAACTTTAACAGTGATACTCACTCTCCCACCTTCGATGCTGGGACCAGCATTGCCCTCAACCACCACTTTGTCAAGCTCATTTCCTGGTATGAAAATGAATTTGGCTACAGCAACAGGGTGGTGGATCTTATGGTCCACATGGCCTCCAAGGAGTAAGAGCCTCTAGATCACCTGTCCCAGAAAGAACACAGAGGAAGAGAGAAGCCCTCAGCTGCCAAAGAGTCCCTGCCCCTAACTCAGTCCCTCAACACACTGAAAATCTCCCCTCTTCCCAATTTCCATCCCAGACCCCCTGAAGATGGGGAGGGGCTTAGGGAGCCCTACTGTCACATACCATCCATAAAGTTCACTGCACCCCTCCTCCAAAAAAGACATTATAAAAACGCTATAATATACAGAAATAGATCCGAGTATTTATGAAAATATTTTTTTGGGTAACAATGAAAAGACAATTCAGTGAAAAAACACTTTACATCAAAGAGTATGAAAACAAATAAGATTATACACAAATTGAACTTGAATATGCACTTCATAGCATATACACAATATGTCCTATACCCAAATGTATAGCATGAACTTGTGAAAACTCTAGAAGATATTTAAGACAATTTTTGTTACCTGGTTTTAGGCAAAGCTGTGTAGGATATAAATAATCTATACAAAAATATATTGATAGACTGAACTGGATTAAAATCATGAAATTTACTTCTCAACAGAAGGTAAAAAGAATTTAAATAATGCATAGACAGGGAGAAAATATTTCAAACCAGTTATCTCATGAGTGACTTTATATAGAGAGAATATATAAAGATATAAAGAGCTTTCAAAATAATAGCAAGAAAAAAAGAAACGCAAAACATTTGAACAGACATTTTCACTGAAAAAGATCCATATAACATTAAGAAAAGAAGCTTAGCATCATTAATCATAAGGAAGATGCAAGTTAAATCACAATGAAACACCACTAACTACTATATGGAAGAGTTAAGCATAACAATAATAAGAGTGACCACAACAAATGTTTCAAAAACAATGTAGGAATTGACATCCTGAAAAATTGTTATAGAGAATGTAAAATGGTGAAGCCACTTTGGAAAAACAGTTTTCAGTTTCTAAATCAATAAATGCATACCTAATACATGGTCCAGGTATTCCACTCTGATGTGCTTATCCATGAGAAATAAAAGCATATAAGCCTATGCTGTCACAAAGACTGGTACACCACCCTTTATCTGGAAAAAAACCAATGTCCAGCACCAGATGAATGAATTTGGTGTACTCATACCATGGAATGCTACTGCAATAATAGTAGATATTATTACATGTAACAACATGGACAAAATTAAAAATAACTATGCTGGGTAAAATAAGCCCCATACAAAAGAGTGATTACTATATGATTTACTTTGTATGAAATTCTTGAAAATGAAAACAAATTTATAGCAACAGAAAGCATCCAGGGGTAGATTAACGAGGAGCATGAGTAAACATTTAAGAATGATGGATATATTCACCGAATTGACTGTAGTGATGGCGTTGTGTGTACATGTCAACACTTATCTAATTGTATATGTTTAATGTATACAATTTGTACACATTTAATTTGTCTGTTATGCCTCAATAAAGCTATTAAAATAAGATAGAAATGAAGAAGGAGTATAGGAGCTGAGCTTGATCAGTTTTTAAGTTGTTATTTTTATATGGAATATTGAGAAATAGGTGGGATGCATGGACAGAGATGTTATCCCATGAGTTCCTCCATGGGAAAGCATGGGCCCTGCCAATGGAGTTTCCCTTTCGGCAGTGGAGGCTGGAAGAGGAACAGCAGGAAACTTAGGCCTTGAGTGGATGAGGTTGTTTGGCATGATCCTTACCTACCCTGTAAGTCATTCCCACAAGAAATCAGTTATCACACTGGACATAACATCTGTAAGTGGAGTAGGAGGAAATGGGGAGCAGAAGAGAATTAGTTAGGCTGCCTTCTAGGAGCATGCCCATGATTCAGTCTCTTTGAGATTAAGGAAAATCTATCACCTATGAAACTAAATTTTTTAAAGGTCAAATTGCTTGCATATTTTGCTAGGATATATATTCCTTTCTGAAAGCAACCTCCCTGGCCTACTATGAACTTATTACTTTGCTATTTATGTCTGCCTTTAAGTTTTTATAAAGGTTCATTAATTTGGGAATTAATTGATTCCCCAATTAATCTTCACAAGAAAGATACACAGCAGAACAATAAAAGGGAGAGGACCCATGAGGAGACTTCAAATTAGCAAAGTATATACCTAGTTTTTGAATTTTTCCTATGATTAATTGCTAAGATTACTATTGTGATAAGCCTAATCTGGTAAGACTTAACATTGAATGTTACAAAGCTAGTTATGTTAGATAGAAGGTGATGAACGCAGACTTACCCCAAATAAAGGAAAAAATAATTCTACTCCAGATTTTCTCAATAAGGAATGAAATAGAATGTGCAAATTTAACTCAGAAGAATATTTTTAAGTAAACATGTCCAGGCTTATCAAGGACTAATGATTCCTTATATTTTGGCATAGTTTGCTCAAGAAATAAGTGTGTATGTGTGTGTGTGTGTGTGTGTGTGTGTGTGTGTGTGTGTGTTTGCACAAACTTCATAAACTGGGCAACTGTTAGAGGAAATGGGAAAAGGGAAAATTATTGAATATTAATTTTAAGAAACAGGGAAGTTAGTTTTAAGACAAAGAAGGGGTCAAGTGGCCACCATGATCCTTAATGGTTATGTCCATTAACTCTGGGGTAGACCACATCTCTTTCTCATTACTTTGCTTAGAACATATTTTACATCCTTATTCCTTAAGCTGTAGATCAAGGGATTCAGCATAGGGATCACCGCGGTATAGAACACAGAGGCCACCTTCTCCTGGACCCTGCTGTGGCTGGATGTTGGCTTGAAATACATAAACATGATGGATCCGTAGAAGACCCCAACAGCTGTCAAATGAGAGCCACAGGTACTAAAAGCTTTGGACCTGCTCTCACTTGAGGGTATTCGAAGAATGTTGGTGAGTATAAAGGTATAAGAGATGGCTATGGGCCCAGTTGTTGCCAGCACATTAAATCCACCTATAAGTGTCACCAGAAGCTCATTAAAGTAGGTGCTAGAGCAGGAAAGCTGTAGGAGGGGAATTATGTCACAGAAGTAATGGTGGATGACATTCTCCCCATGGAAGGAAAGCCTGATCATGGAGGAAGTGTGGGCTACAGCTCCAAGAGCTGCCATGATATAGACCCCTGTTACCAGTATGCTGCATGCCTTTTGGGACATGGTGACACTGTAGATCAGTGGATTACAGATAGCTGCATATCTATCATATGCCATGGCTGCCAGCATATAGCCCTCAGCAATAGCAAACGTGCAATAGAAAAAGAGCTGTGTCATGCATCCAGAATAGGAGATAACATTTTGTTCCCATATAAAGTTTCCTAACAGTTTAGGGGTAATAACTGAGGAATAGACGAAATCTATGAATGACAAATTACCAAGAAAAAAGTACATGGGAGTTTGGAGCTTGGAATCAACAGTAATTAGGAGGATTATACCCAGGTTTCCCACTACAGTGATCCCATAGATTACTAGAAACAGGAGAAAAAGGGGCAGTTTGAGTTCTGGTTGGTCTGTTAATCCCTGGAGGACAAATTCAGTCATGGTGGAAAAATTGCATCTGATCATTTCCTCTAGGAAACAGAGTATAAACCTAAGGGAAAAAAAAAAAAAAGAAACCTTAGAAAGTAAGAAAGCTCTGTTCCCATGGTGGGAAGTTGTTTTATTACGAGTGTGACAAAAGAAAAGAAATCCTGATCATCAAATGAGAACAGTTTAATGGCTGTAAATAACAAAAGAAGAGGATTATATATTTTTTTCATGTCAGATTTGAGTTTCTTTTAGTCAAGGAATATTATAAGGTGTATAGAGCAAGTACTATATGATCTTAAAATGACTAGAAAGTATCTGAACAGTTCAAGGCTACCCCATTTTTATCCTCAGAGACCACCCTAGTGTCTACTATGAATGGGTACTCCATAGTTAACAGCTGGAGCTGGAAATCCATCTGACCTCTGCATGCCTAATGCCTGCTGAGATGTTCCATGCTGCTAACACCAAGGTTCAATCTGGTGCTAAGAAAGTAACTTCTGGGGCTGGGGTTGTGGTTTAGCAGTAGAGCTCTTACCTCCCATGTGCAAGGGCCTGGGTTGGATCCCCAGCACCACATAAAAATAAACAAATAAAATAAAGGTACTGTGTCCAACTACAAATAAAAAATAAATATATTTTAAAATTAAAGTAACTTCTGGGCTAGTAACAGCCTGCGTGTGCATTAGGTAGTTGTTTACTGTGGAATAAACAAGAACTGAGGAGAAAATGCATGTTTTAGGGTCACAATTCAAGGTCACAGAGGGAAGCACAGTTACTTTGATGCTCCACGTTAAGGTTTTAAAGTTGATTCTGAAGTTCTGTTATTCAAATAAGAGAGTCTATTGTCAGGCAATTTTACTTCTAGAGGAGCTTTGGGATATATTGTGGGCACATCTTAGGACTTTGATGAAATAATGGGAAAAAGAAGAGCCATCTTTCTGTGGTTCTATCCACTGCATGTTACAGGCAAGAGTAAATTTATTTCCTCCAACTCCAGTTGTATTGGGTGAACTAATTTCCACATGTATTTGATCTAACTAGCTTATTGAACTACAAATTTGAAATTTTCCATAAGTAACCCTATTTTACAATGAAAAATTTAAGGAAATGTGGCTTTTCCTAAGTGTACACTTACCTGAATGCTGTAAGGAGTAGAATTGTTGCTCCAACTTGGTTTGTTTGTTCTCTTTCAGTGTGAAATGAATTCACACAGTTGGATTTATGGAAAATATGCCCCATCCAGTGCCTTGCTGATCTTGTTGGAGTGTAATTGATGAACACTGAAAATCAAATGGATATTATTGAAAATGAAGAAAAAAATAGAGCATCTTCTGGCCATCTCAATGCTTACCTCATGCTCCAGCTGTGTCACCAAGTCACTGTATGACTTTGGGAAAGTAACTTCACCTTTGCTCTCCTGTGAAAGAATGAATTTGGGATGAGGCTTTCCATAGTGTACTGGATCTCTGAAATTTAATGACACTGGGTAAGCAAATATAAGATTCCCTTTCATCCCCATAACACAAACAGCCTTTTCTAAGCAAGGGAATATTTTGACTCATTGTTTGTGGATGTTTGGTCTCCAAGGAAATGGATGACAAGAATATTCTCTGAGGACCACAAGATCCACACAAGATGATGAAATTCTCCTGAGAACCAGAAACATGATAAAGTCTATTTGCTCTTAAATTCATGATGTGCACAGAATGTTGGCATTTCCAGTGAATGTAATTACATTTTTGATCTTACTTTTTGGAAGAAAACAATGTATGTGAAAGATGATAATAGTTCCCACCTGAGATGGTTGTAGGATTACCATAAGCAGTTTAGCTAGGAGAGTCTCACTTCAAAAAAGCAAATGTCTCTGACCTCATGACTGAGCTCCAAAAAGAGCATAGTAAACCTGACTTTTAGATTTTTAAATCTATGTGTTGTAATTAAGGTTAATTAAGATTTATATTCCTGGAACAGTAATTATGCTACCAGTATCAATGATGAGCCACTTGTGTTACAACTAGTGTTCTGTGATTTGAATGAATATTCCGTATGTATTTTTATTTATAGGAAGAACTTTAGGATATATTGTGGATATATTATGACTAGCAAACACAATATTGAAGGGAAAGAATAGTCAGAAGACTGGAAGTATCTGACTTCAAAATTAATGCAAAGCATTAATACTCAAGAAGGTAACATAAAAAGAATAGATGAAGAGATGAGCAGGACAGAGAGCCCAGACATAGACCCTCATAGATACTGATTGTGGATAAAGGAGCAAAAACAATTTAATGGAGAAGGACAATCTTTTTTAACAAATGATACTGGAACAATTGCACAATACATATAAAAAATTAATCTAGACACAGGTCTCACATGTCTCACAAAAATCAAATCAAATGAATTAAAATCTAAATATAAAATCATAAACTCCTAGAAAAATGACCTAGAGAAAAGTCTGGGTGACCTTGAGTTTGATGATAACTTTTAGACATAACACTAGATACATAATATATTAAAGAGTTAAAGAAAAATAAGTCACAATTTATTAAAACCAAAAACTTTTGCTTTGTAAAAGGTGTTTTTTTTTTTGCATGTGTGTGGATAACTGCATTACTTTTTATTATTTAGTTTTGTTATTTCTTTTTTAATTGATTTTTTAAAATAAATGACAGCAGAATGCATTACCAAAAGGCATTATTTAAAAGAAGAAAAAGGTAAGCTTCAGACTGGAGGAAAAGTCTGCAAAATGCATATCTAATAAAGTGTCAATATACTAAATTTACATAGAACTATTAAAAAATCAACAAATACTTTAATTTAAAAATAGGAAAAAACGTCTGAATGAACATTTTACCAAAAAGAAGATAAAGGGCTGGCAAGTAATCTTATGAAAAAATATTTAAGTAAGTTATCATAAAATTGTAAGTCATTCTGTAGGCTCTCTATTCACCTCACTGATTATATCTTTTGCTGAGAGGAAGCTTTTTAGTTTGAATCCATCTCATTTATTGATTCTTGATTTTAATTCTTTGCCTGTAGGAGTTGTTTTAAGAAAGTTGGGGCCTAATCCAACATGATGGAGATTAGGGCCTACTTCTTCTATTAGACTCTGGTTTTAATTTTTTTTTCAGAATAAAATTGTATTCGAACTAAGGTTAATTTTTAAGCCTGTAAAAAAACATCAGTGATGGTTAAGTAAGATCTTAATTCTTTTTTTCCCAACATTTAAAAATTTTTTTTTAAAAATACACTCCAACAGTGGAAGACATTACAATCCTTATTACACATATAGAGCACAATTTTTTGTATTTCTGTATATAAAGTATGTTCATGTCAATTTATGCCACTATACATGTACTTTTTTGCATTACACTTCTAAATACACATATATACCACAATTTTTCATAATTCTGTTGGTATATAAGGTATGTTGACTCTGGTTTAATTTCCAGGTTCTTGATCCACTTTGAGTTGAGTTTTGTGCATTGTGAGAGATACAGGTTTCATTTCATTTTGCTACGTGTGGATTTCCAGTTTTCCTAGCACCATTTGTTGAAGAGACTCTCTTTACTCCAATGTACGTTTTTGGTGCCTTTGTCTAGTAGAAGATAACTGAAATTATGTGGGTTAGTTTCTGTGTCCTCATTCTGTACCATTGGTCTACAGGTCTATTTTGGTGTCAATACCATGCTATTTTTGTTACTGTTGCTTTGCAGTAAAGTTTTAGATCTGGAATAGTAATGCTACCAGTTTCACTCTTCTTGCTAAGGATTGCTTTGGCTATTCTGGGTCTCTTATTATTCCAGGCGAATTTCATAACTGATTTTTCTATTTCTGTAAGAAATGCCATTGGGATTTTGGTTGGGATTGCATTGAATCTGTATAGTGCTTAATACTTACAACAACATCTGCTTCTTGGCATAATACATCATGATTCAATTTAAAAATATTTTTAGTTATTAAAAATTATAAATCAAAGCAAATTAAAATATCTGAAATTCAAAATACTGACAACACCAAACACTGTTGAAGTTGTGAAACAACAGGATTGCTCATTCATTACTGGTGGGAATGCACAAAGGTGCAGCTTATCAGGTTTTTACAAAACTAAACATACTCTTACCATGTGACTGAACAATCAAGCACCTTGCTATTTACTATGATGAATTGAAAATAAGTGTTTACACAGAAAATGCATGTGTGTAGAGGCTTTATTCATTATTATCAATAGTTGAAGTTAAAAGAAAAGTGAATCAATAAACAATGTGCAGTGAGTCCAGACAATGGGATATTATTAGTTGATTTTTAGACATGAGCTACCAAACCACAATAAGACATGGAAGAAGCTTAAGAGCACATTTCTAAGTGGAAAAAAAAGTAACTGAGGAAAAGCATACATGTATTTTAATTTTAACTATGGGTCATTTTGGAAAAAAGTTAAACTATGAAGACAGAAAAAAGATTAGTGGTTGCCAACAACTTGGGTGGAAGGAATAGAGATGGATAGATTAGCACAGGCAATGAGGCAATGAGGCAAATTTGTGTGGTATTGTAATGGCAGATACATGCAATTGTAGACTTGTCAAAACTTGTGGAATGTAGAACATAAAGAGTGAACCCTAATGTAAATGATCAGCTTTAGTTAGTAGTAATGTAACCATATTCACTCATCAGTTTAAAGGAAAATACCATGAAAAATATTACTAAAAGGGGAAACTACACTGGTTGTTGGAGGAGGTAGGAAGTGCTATGTAATATCTCTGTATTCTTTGCTCTGAAAACCAAAATTTTCTTGAAATTATACCTCTCTCTTTATTCCCCCTCCGTGTTTTGGATGTTTCTTTCATTTATTCATCCAGGACACTAAGGGACATTTCAGCACTAGGGATTCTCTTCTTCAACTTATTTAGATTGTTTTCATTCCATGAGATTTTTAAAAATATATTTTTAGTTATTAATGGACCTTTAATTAATTTATTTATATGTAGTGCTGAGAATCAAACCCAGTGCCTCACACATGCTAGACAAGTGCTCTACCA